ATACCGTTTTATTTTTATGGTTCCCCACATTGTTCTGAAGTGCTAAAACAGACTGATTTGTGCTGGGTGTCAACAGACACTTCAGAGGCTCCTTTATCGCTCCTCACTGCGATCTTGTGTCTTCTAACCTCTAGCCTTGTGCAAGATGACTTTTATGTTGCACAAATGTTGAATGGGTTTGCCAGACGCAATCATTTGATATCATGAAGTCATTAAATATCTAAGGGACAAGCACAAGGCTCCACTAAACAAAAATAAGCTTCTGCCTCCAGCTGCTATAAAACAAGTTGTAGAGCAAATCATTTATTTGGATAAATAACATTCTGGGTGAGAGGAAGAAAAGGTTTATTTATTTGTGGTGACGTGTCAGGGCTCAAACTTTGCAGTTAGTTTAAACGACCAGCACATTATGTGAATGTTAGTATTCTGATTGGTCTTTTTTAATATCAATTATTTGCTGATTTCTAATAATGACTGTGATATAAGAGTATATTGTTTTACCATTAACATTAGTTTGGTTCATTATCATTCCCTTGGTGTGGAGAGTTTGCCTCATTCATCATTTTGCTGCCTCTGGATATTAATGCAGTTGATTGCTGCTGAATAGTTTGTGTTATATGGACTCGCCTTTAGTCTCTTCACACTATACCATTTTGTTTTTCTCATGAACAGGTTGATCATGGTGTCTGATAGTAATGTCTGTTCCATTTTGTTGTTTTATCAAGAATTACAGCTTTGTTTAGTGAGGTTTTGGTAAACTGATGTTGTTTTACCCATGCAGGCAAAAATTAAATAGTCTGACAGGTTGGGAAATACACTCTGCTTTCTGAGAGTAAGATGAGAAGACACTTTCATGTCAGTACAACATAAAGCTACTATAACTTAGCATAAACAGGAGAAAAGGATGTGCCAGGCTCTGTCCACCTGGATGCTAGAAATAGGGATGCTGAGGGAGCTGCAGCATCCCTACTGGTGAGAGGCTTTAATAGCAAGGCTAACAAGCGAACTGACCAAACAATAAAACAACCACTTTGATTTTCAATTCTAACATTTCGAGACCATATTAGTAGTAAGCTTAACAGAGATTTTAGTGTATTTTATGTGTCCAATGCACAAATAAAGAAGGTGACAGTGCTGGTAATATTGGGTTTGATATGACTCTCTGATTTCTTTAATGGTCCAAAAGCCAAGCTTAATCTCTGTTGTTTAGAGAAAAATTCGAAAACTAGTTTGACATTTTGTTGGCCATTCAAATTAATAAAATAAATCGCATATGTTGCACTGTATTTTATATGATAGCATCATATAGACCTTCAGCATCCTCAAACCTAGATGACCTTCAGTAGTATAGAGTATAGAGGTACTGGTAAGCGTACTTTTACCTCTACTTTTACCTCTTTATGGTAAGTTAGCCGACTGCAGGAAGCAAGATATATGGTTCGTAAGTGTAGAATCAGAAGTGTCAGTGAGAATTGTACATGAGACTTGAGAGGATGCAAACAAGTACCATCTGTTAAAGCTGAGTCTACACTGTGTAACCATCTCAGGACCGTTGTATGCCCGGCCTAGGGTACAGCATCCGTCCCCATGTCCTTCAGAGAACAGATGTTACATATATAACCAACACTTCTCAGAGAAAAGGTAATCGCGTCATTGTGTTTTGATTTTGCATCTTTATTCTACCTTTTGCTTCCACATTTTGCACTTCCACTATTGAATCATACTCTGCCCTGTGTTGTCATTATTTCTGACAAACACAGTGCTGCATTCACATGTTCTGATGCCGATTCCACGGGGTATAACTAAGCAGATGATTCCATAGAGAGTAATGAGCTTTTGCAGTCTAGAGGCTCAATTATAAACACTTGCCCCCCCTCCCACTCCCATTTTAAAAGTGTGAAGCCCGAGGAGACGTGGAGTGGAATTCCAACCAGGATGATGAAAGAGAATCTAATGAATCAAAACCAATCCTATTAGTTCCGGCCCACATCTCCATACTGTGGCCCTTTTCTGCACCACAATCCACTGCATGATTTCACACAAGCAGGGGAACTGGGGGATTTCAACAGAGTGGGGCAGGAGATCTGAAACCTTTCAACCTGGAGCGACTTGTTGCCTGTAATTGACCGCATGATTACCGCAAAACATGATCTTAGCCCCCGTTGAAAGTGGGACCAAGTGGCCCTGAAACTGAAGGTTCCCCTGGCCAAGATATTTTCTTACAGTTTTTTTTACTTTGACATTTAAAAAAAAGAACATTCTGCCAGTTTATATTTCAGGTTCTCGGCCTCCTTGCTGTCTTAAAGTCAGCAAACTCAAGGTCTTTGCAGTCCCTGAAGTCTGGGTCTAGAAGATCTGACAGAATTCCCTGGCTCACTCCCTCGTTCTCACACACACTCTCACACTACCTCACCTTTGTAATCTCTCTCTCCCCCATCTTTCTCACTCCCTCTATCCTTTCCTCATTTTATCTTTCGCTCCTTAACTCCGTCTCTGGGGAGTGGGAAAATGAGCAGAACAAAGCATGTGGGGGTTTGAGGATCATTTGGAACCGGGAGCTGGAGTCTTTGTAGCGCAGCCAGCTGGACATATAAAGAGATGGGGGCGGGTGAGATAGAGAAAGAGAGAGCAAGGCGAGGGCAAAGAGGTGTGAGCAGAAAGCTCAGGGTGCTCGGTTTTGAAACTGCGGAGGGGACGGGGAGTGCTCCTCTCTGGTAGATCCTGTATTCAGATGCACTCAAGCAGAACTTCTGGCCCTCCATTCACATCCTCAGCCACCTCGCCCTCTGTTTGTGATATGGATACCGTCACCGCCCCACACGGCTCCCACATCACTGAAAACCCACTAAAGATTTCAGGGAAAAGGTTGGTGCACTTATCCCAAAAGAATGCGATTCTGTTCGTGTTAAATCAAGCACATGGCAATGTTTGCTACCCTTTCAAAAAGTTTGGTAAATAAAACTTGATGAGTGCTCTGTTGGGCAAAACTAAAATGAACAAGGTAATTTAAAATCCTTACACAGGCTTGAATTTTGAGGGTTTATTAGGCAGCAAGCGGATGTTTGGTTTACTGGGTATTTTTCACTGAGCTGTGAAAGAGTTGGTGCTACAATGTGGAAATGAAATGGGGGGCCTTGTCAGTCGAGTAACAAACTATGCAGTTTTGGGGCCAAAAAGTTTTTTTTTTTTTCTCAGCCCTGTCTAGCTGTGCTCTATTATGCACTTTTGTATAATGCCATGGGATGCTATCATGGCAACACACCCTAGGGGGGCAAAATCCTCAAACTGAGATGCCGGTGTTGCCTTGGCCTTTTACCTCTCTCTCTCAGGGAGGAATTAGCCTTAAGCTCTGGCCCTGGGGGGGACGATGAAGACCCAGATTAGAGGTCAGGTTGCTCACTAATAGACCTTTGCTGCTTGGACATGACGCCCCATCGTGGGCCGAAGCTCGGCCCTATGGGGGTTCCATTTTGACAGTGGTGAAGACATGATTGAGTATTGGGCAGGCTTAGAAAGGCAATGGCTACACCGATCAAAGGCCTTGGTCACAATAGTTGAACATGGGTGGCCACAACACTGCTCTGGCCAGACTCAGCTGTTGCATGTGTGTGACTGTACATAATAATACTGCTATATTTGTCATTCACTGTTTGTGTTCGTTTTTTTGGTGCAAATCTCTTCAACTACCTCTTTTATGATTCTTTTCCACTGGTTAAAAAAATCTTTAACGCAGGCAAACCCACTGAAAATGCAATTACTCCTTCCCTTTCCAGTTTGCCTCTTTTTTCACCTATTCCGTCGTATTGAATGTCACAAACACTGAGGTGCTCACTCATCTCACTGTCTGCCAAATGAATGCATTCACCCGGGTGTCATGTTTCCATCACTGCTGATCGAAGCCGGAGCTGATTAAAACCTGCGTCTACTGCAGACCCACGGCAAAAGCCCGATGTTAGTGGGAGTTTTGGGTTTGTGGGTTGATTGACCAGTGGAAAAGGTAAATAATAAATGGTCTGTATATACAGTATGTGGCACTTTTCTAGTCTTGATGACCACTCAGCCCCAAATATTTAGTGAAATTAACTTTTAACTTATAACACCCCACAGGGTCATGGCAGTTATTTATATGAAACATTTGGCCTACACCTTCCACGGTAGACATTTGGACTGACTAAGCACAGATGTGCTTAATAATATTAACAATGCATATATTCATTGTCCAGGTCCTGTGATGGTATTATAGGTCCTGCTGTGAAAAACATCAATAACAGGAATAAAAAGCAACAAACAACAAAGTTCCTTACATTTGGACTCGTGTGGAAAAGCACAGGTGTAAATAATACAAAGATCTGCAAAGACCTCAACCACCAATTTACTTTTCTCTATGCATGAGACAGTTGACTCAATTAAAAGCAATAATGTCACATTTCTTACACTGCTTGATATACAATATGTCTACTCAGATATTCTACCATTACTGACAATAATTCCTCAATTCATTCACCTTCCATCATGCTACAAACTATTTACTCTAACCAACTGTAATTACTCTACTATTTCTCTGGCGTTCTCCATTACACGTGGCATCTATTACACTTCTTTCCGTCCTGGGAGAGGGATCCCTCACATGTGGCTCTCAGAGGTTTCTACGTTATTTTTTCCCTGTTAAAAGGGTTTTTTGGTAGTTTTTCCTCACTCTTGTTGAGGGTTAAGAACAGAGGATGTCACCCCTTGTTAAAGCTCTATGAGACAAATTTTGATTTGTGAATATGGGCTATACAAATAAAATTTGATTGATTGATTGGTAGTGAGCATACAAGGGAGACTGCTCTTCTTGTTCCATGGTGAGGGTTGATGAGAGCACCAAATTTCACATTTAAAATGTAGACATTCCAATAAAACAATAAATAAAGT